TGTATATACATATGTGTGTGTATATGTATATACATATGTGTGTGTATGTATATACATATATATGTATGTATATGTATATGTATATACTTATGACCATGTGATATTTCAGTTTTTCTTTTTCAATAAATTTGCAAAAATTTCTACATTTCTGTTTTTTTCTGTCAAGATGGGGTGCTGAGTGTACATTAATGAGAAATAAAATGAACTTTTTTGATTTTAGCAAATGGCTGCAATGAAACAGAGTGAAAAATTTAAAGGGGTCTGAATACTTTCCGTACCCACTATATGTATATATGTCTATGATGACAAATAAGGAAACATTCCACACAAGGGTTGGTTTGGCCACAGCACTTGACTGAATGTAACGGAAATGCTAAGCAGAACTCAAGAAAGAAAAAAAAAAAGAAAAAATCCAAATCAATTGTAATTTTGGGATTTTTTTTAAATTATCTTTTTGTCTTTCTCACTCTTTGTTTTCGCCTCGCAGCAGAAGGATGGGACGTTTGCTGCCGGGGGATACATGCCTCCTCTGCGCTTTAAGATGATCACCCTCTGCATTGTGTTTGGCACCATGCTGGGAGGCATTCTCATCCCCAATGGTACTGTGTGTGTGTGTGTGTGTGGTGTGTGTGTGTGGTGTGTGTGTGGTGTGTGTGTGTGTGGGGCTCGCTGACTGGAGGTATTCAAGGTGCATGTGTTCCTTTATGTGGGCGGAGTAGCCGGGGAGCTTTACGACATGTGTGAATGTGACTTTACGAGTCAGTGACTGTCACACTCTAACACAGTCCTTAAATCAGGGCTCTATCTTTTAGACGGGCAGACAGGAAGATAGGGCAATTATTCTCCCAGACTCTCTCTCTCTGACACACACACCAACATATGAACACACCAATATTGGCTCTCTGTCAGGTTCTTTGAGTCTGTCCGTCCCACTCACAAACGGCTCCAAAATGGCGGAGATGTAAAGGTTAGAATGAGTTTGTTTTATTCATCCTTTTATATGGAGGATGTTTATTAAACTTTTGATTGGGTAGACACACACACACACACACACACACACTGTGGGTTTGGCTGGCCCTTTGTGTATCTAATCAGACTAATAGACTGAGAATAAGGGAGGTAAGGACCCTGGGGAGAATGGACACTAAATCTGAGGGAGACAATATGGTGTCCGTCCTCTGGATGAACGATGGGTTTTCCAGGCCCGACGCCCAGCCAGCCACCACAGAGACCGGGGTGGGGCCAGGGCTCGCCTCTGCCAAGAGCGGGGTGCCATGGATGGGAGCCTGGGGCTGGGCGGGTGTCCCGGTTATGAATGGCTGAGGCAGGTATGAATGGAGCTGGTGAGAAAGAGCATCGATATGGGGAATCGCTTTGATATTTTTTTTTTAGCAGCAGAGATATGGAAGAGCAGTACCCAAACCCCTCAACTCTGGCCATGTCGGTGCCATGTTTGGCCCGGTGCAATTTCAAAATGCATTTATCTCAATTGATTTTAATGGGGATGATAATTAACAACATGAACAGTGATTATTGTTATAATATTATTTTCATACCGTTGATGGTCGATGCATTGCTTTTGAATAACAATTGAAACTGTTTATCTATTACTTTACCTAATTATTTCTATAATTTATCTAACTATTTGAGCTATGTATCCATTACTTTCAGCTAAATATTTTAGCCGTTTCAGCATGCATTTCAGCATGCATTACTGCCACTTGCACCCTAACCTCTGCAGGACGACAAGATGATCCCTGTGTTTTTCGTTTCCTCTTCTCTCTCTAGTGGAAACCATTCTGGGTCTGACTGGAGCCACTATGGGCAGCCTCATCTGCTTCATATGCCCTGCTCTCATCTACAAGAAGATCCAGAAGAACAGCCTCATTTCTCAGGTTGCACAGTCAGAATTAGCACTCATCAGTTGCTCCGTGAAGATGTGTTCTTCACTGACCTGCTGTGCTTCTCCCCTCTTTTTCTCTCTGTCCTTTTTAGCTGGTGCTCTGCGTGGGTCTGGGCATCCTGCTGGTCAGCACCTTCACCACCCTCTCCATTTCGGCCACAAGCCCCGGCACCAAGGTCAAAGCTCCTCCCCCTCCAGCACCTGTCAAGAACAACCTGCTGCTACCAGACCTTCCTGAACACCACGGTAAAGATCATGACGTGCTAAAGGCTCGCTATAACGTACCTACTTGAGGGAGAATAGAAGAAACTGGTTTACGAATGAACCACGGAAACATTTACCTTAACGGGCCGGAGCCAGGGTTCGGCGTGCTCCGGCGGCACGAGAGACGCATTTACTTCTTTTATTTTCAAAGTCGAGGACTACAGGGCCCTAAAACGGCAACGTAAAGAAAATAAGAGCCAGTGGCAAAGGGCCAGTGAGACTAAAACAAAAGCACAAAGCCACAGCCCACAGAAAAGGGGTTTCTTTCATCTCTGCGAGAAGAAAAGATGGAGGACAGACAGTGACTGATAGACAGACAGACAGGCAGGCAGGGTGAGTAGATAACCTCTTGATAATATCTGATAGCAGCGCCGAGTGCTTGACATTGATGGAGCGAGAGTGATGCCCTTCAAACTCCAGTAATTTCTCTCTCCACCCCTCTCATTTCTCCTGCCACCCCCTCCCCCCTCAAAACACATCGTCTCTCCCCCCCCCACATCTCCTGTGGCAGCTATAAAATGCCTGCAAGCTCTGGCTGTATAAAGGGGAGATGGTGATATGTTTGGGGAGGTTAGAGGGGTGCAGACGAAAAACAAATGGAGATGAGGCGGAGAGGAGCCTTTTGAGTTACTAGTTTGAACTAGTTTGATTTTACTGCATTCTCTCCTCACATTTTGACTGGAGGTGAAACCCTTTTACACCCGTTTGTCACTTTCAATGTTAATTCATCTCCCTTTGTCTTTTCTTCTGTCTCTTGCTCAATTTTTAAACCCCACCAACCGTGTTAGTTTTGACATCGTCGGCGCTTGCTGCCACCTAGTGGATCTACTTGTCGGGGATAGTCGTCGCCTTGAATTCAATTACACCCGAGAGCATCGGCAAACGCGCAGTTCATGGGAGATATACCGGAGGTGTTAATTTATTTTAATGCCAGCCGTTAATGTGTGTAATAAACACAACAGCAGAAGAAAATAAAGAGTGCATGTCAGGGCCAGTGTTAAATAGTAATGCACTAGAAGACAAGTCATTTTACTTTCCTCAGACAAGAGAAAACAGGGAAATAAATGAGGTATCAAATTACTATCTATCTATATATATATTATATATATATATACTGGCTGTGTGAGAAAAGGCAGTAAAAAGCTCACCAGCAGCAGCGATACTAAACAAGAGTAAAACATAATCCTGTGTTAAAAAAAAAAACAACTTTTAATGGCGGCATAAATCTATTACTAAACGACAGATTTACTAATTTTGCCGTAACAGGAAGCACAGTTTGGCTTTTAATAGAGGTGATATTCACTAGCAGTGGTCTGTGTTGTAATAGATTGTGTGTTTGTGTGTCTGCATGTAGACAACGCTCTGAACAAGAAGCCAGTGGAGATAGAAAAACCTGACCTTCCAGCTGTGAAGGTGGTCCAACCAGTAGACGGGGACCCGCCGGAGCCCCCCCAGATTAAAGGACCAGTGGAACTACCTGAGAGGAAGGAGGAAGAGGCGCAGTTGGACCGCCCTGGTGCTGGTAAGGCTGGAAACTGAACCAATGCTGGAATCTTCACTGGATTCTGAACTGTTGAGAATAAGGGATGTTTTGTCTGTTTTACCAGGTGTTGCGCTGCCAGAGGGCGAGGCCCATCGGCATGAACCACCCATCCCTCACGACGCGGTCATGGTGGACAAAAGAAAGAACAACGCAGAGCTGGAGGAAAACAACAAACAACCCGAGGAACCTAAAAGAGATGAAGTGCAAGGTTTAGGGCATGCTGTGGTGGTGGTGGTAGAGGACAAAGAAGACAACACGGGTGAGGAGAAACCAAAGCCTGTAGTGGCTGTTGTGGGGAAAGAGGAGGTGGATTTGGGTGGAGGTGAAGCCCGGTCCAATGAAGTGCTGGAGAAGCCCGGTGCAGAGGCAGACAAAAAGCAGGACGTTCCTCAGCTTAAAGAAGTAGAGAACCTCGATCCGGTGAAAGATCCTCAAGCAGGGAATGTAGCTGAGGAGGTCAATCAAGTGGGCAAAGCTCCAGATGCTGCAGAGAAGCGTGAGTATTAACCGAACCCTGACCCTTGCATGGTGTAAACGGTTCTAGGAAAATGCAACGTTGACCTGGTGACATTTTGGTTGTTCTTCAGCTCCACTTTCTGAAGGAGAGCATCACCCTGCTGCAGATGTGGCTCCAGCTGCAGGTGTGGCTCCAGCTGCAGACAGCAAAGACACAGCAGATGAGAAAATGGACGGTGAGTGGAGTAGAAAAGGTCCAGAGGTGTAGAGTAAATGGTCTTAGGTCACTTAATTAGCAGCAATTCAAAACGAATTGCACTGCAAATGTATCATTGAGTGATGCATTTATCATTAGTTTTTACTTATACAAGGGATTGGATGTAGTCTAAAATGCAGCTGCATGACAATTATTTTGTCCTGCTGATTTCAGAGATGGTACACACTTCTGACCGACATCCAATAATCACGCAGCAAAGCAAGCACGACCTCCCAAGTACTTTACTAGATCTTACAAGTACTTTGAAGTTATTCTTGAAAGTGTAATAACTAAACTACAAGCGATTGAGACGGGAAATAAAACAAGTAAAGCACTGACTCACAAATTAAAAATAATGAAAGTGTGTTTTTCCTTTAATTGGTTGTATCGTAACAAACTACATTATTTGCTGTGGCTTGCTGCATGTTTATGTCCCTGCCTCTCTTTTTCATATTTCACTCGGCTTGTTTTATCTTGTTTAATCTAATCTCTCGCTGATTGTGCCTGTTTTTTACGGTACAAATAATTTAAAACAGCAGAAATATTCAAATCCATTTCTTTTCTCCTATTTCGTGACCTTCCTGTATACACCACGCAGTGTTTTTTGGGCTTTTGTTGACTTTCTTGTTCTGTTTACTTTTGCCTTCTCTTTGTCTTTCCTTCTCCATCTTTACCCCTTTTTTCTGTTTTTCTCTGCTGGACTCCTATCACAGTGATAAAAAAGCTGGTTGCAGGTATGAATTCTTGCCTCTTCTCTTTATCTCTTGTCTGTCGCTCAGATCTTCATTCACTCACTGGGCCAAGTTAATAGACCTTTACATATACTGTACGTACAATGCATATAGTAAATATGCATTTTTATCTTATATCTAAATAATGTGCCGGTGTAGAATCCGCCCTCTCACCTTGCCCCCAGCCCCTAACGTAGTTTACGTGTGTCTACATCTGCCCATTGCAGTTTATGTTTAAGGCTACAATCCAGAGATGTGTGTTTGAATGGACCAATGGGACGGTACTAAACCATAGTGGAATATTCCCCTTCCCCTCCCACCTAGAGACTGGCCCTACATCCGTCTAACTAAGTTTCTTAACTAATGCAATGTTCTGAGACCTGGTGGTGACTTATTCTGATGCAACTTTGTTTCTGTCCTACAGAAGGCCAGCTCGACCACGCAGTGCTACTGCAGGTGATCCAGCAGCAGCAAGAGCAGCAGAAGAGACTTCTTGACCAGCAGGAAAAACTACTGGATTTCATAGAAGAGCAACACAAGGAAATCCACCAGAAACAACCTGCCGGTGGGTGCACACTCAATGCGTTGCAGATAAATGACTACTTGAGATCATTGGTGGTTGTGTTCAATTTAAAAATAAGCGTGACAAAAAGTGTTTTTAATTAAAAGGGGCTGCTGACGGTGAGGCAGAGAAAGGCCTCCAGGAGGGGATGGAAGGTGGAGCAGCAAAGCCCAAAGAGTCTGGCCTGGACTCGGACGTGAAGCAGCCGATGGAGGCAGCTGGAGCTGGTGCTGTAGTTGGTGCTGGAGCTGGAGGTGGAGCTGCTGTTGGAGCTGCTGTTGGAGCTGGTGCTGGAGCTGGTGCTGGTGCTGGTGCTGGAGCTGCTGTTGGGGCTGGTGCTGGAGGTGGAGCTGCTGTTGGAGCTGGAGGAGCGGACCCTCAGGCCGTGGACCAGAATCGAGAACAGGCCAGGCATCAGGGTGCAGAGGTTGGGGATCCAAAAGTAGCTGGTCAAGCAGCTTACAAGGAGGATGTCCATGTTGCAATCGGAGGAGAATCCCTTAAGCAGAGTGAGCTCGGGGCAAGGGGAGTGCCACTGGTAAAGAAAAAATCTGATAACCGTCAACCAGTTGATCAGGAAGCTCATCTTAAAGATGATGAGGTGAAGAAGAAAATTGAAAATCTTAAAAAAGAGCAGATAGAGAAAGAGGTTCATGCAAGAGTGGAAAAAGAACGGCTTGATCGCGAGATGAAGGCGCTGGAGATGGAGAGAGCCGTAAAGGATAAACTCGCACAGGAAAAGGCTGCAGAAGAGAAACTTCAGCGGGAGATGCAGAAAATAGACAATGAAATACTTGAGAGAGCGAAGAAAGAGAAACAGATAGAAGAGGCTCAGGAGAGGCAGGCCCAGCTAAAGCGAGTTATAGAAGACAGACAGGCTGCACAGGGGGCTGAGAGAGAAGATGGTGAAGCTTTGAAGAAAGGCGGACGAGACCTCAAAGAGAAAGCTGCTGCTGCTCAGGAGGACCCCGGAGAAGGTGTGGAAGACGGGGCCGTCAAAGCCGAGGCTCGCCCCCGGGGCTCCCACGAGAAGATCGGGGACCAGAGAGAGATGGATCTAAGACGGAGACGCAGGGCACTGGGACCGAGAGAAGCCGGAGGGCGCCCGGAGGAGACCGGTGCGTCCAGGGGGATGCCGGGGCTGGAGCCCCTGCTGGAGCTGGGGGGCTCCGACCTGCACGTGGCCCTGGAGGAGCAGCTACTGGCTGGGGCAGTGGTGCACTCGCGGCAGATTAAACAGGCCTCAGAGGACGAGGGGGTGAAATAACACACACACACGCACACACACACACATTCTCGCTCAATGATTGGACAGCAAGTTCAACAAATACTGTACACCTGCAGAAAACTTCTAATGGTGTGGACTATTACATCGTTTCCTTTAATTCTTTCTTGCCTTCGGAAATGATATGGAGAAAGAGGAACACTTTCTCTTTCTCGATACTGTGTTCTCCGCAAACAACCCAAAGACTTTTACTAAAGAGCAAAGTATGCATGTAAATATTAACTTATTTTTGTCTCTAGGGGGGAGGATTTTGAAGAAGTTACTGTTGAAATGTATATAAATCTATGCAATACCTTTCTCTAGTGTGTAGGCAGGTTGGATGTATTAGTCACTTTTCATTCACCAGCTTCGTGGAGTCTGCCTCTCTGGAGGATCTGTTTGTGCTTTGTCTCCTGAGCTTGGTTAGTTTGTTAGTATTTATCTTTTACTTTGATATGTATGTATTGTAATATTTGCTGTGTTAAATTGTGATCAATGTTTCTTTGAATCTACATGTCGGGCACCTTGGTAAGAGTCTTCTCACTATACTTTCAAATGAAAGTGAAGGTATTCAGCCTCATGCTGGGGCTACGAGGTATATAGTGAAGTGTAGGCTTACGTTTGATAAACTGGACAACGAAGCAGCTGGATCCATGACTGTAGTTATCAATCATTCTATCTTTCCATATATATATATATATATATATATGTTCCCTGTTGATTGATCGGTGCCTTCCAATCCATATGCTGCTGTTCTATCAAAACAAAATGGGGCATTTTTTTCCCCCCTCAATTTGTGTTCTTTTTGCTTCTACTCTTACTGTAAAGAGTACAGAAATGTTAGAAGAAACAAATCCGTACATTGGGTTAAGGACAGTGGAATCTGGTCTATGTTTGTAGTGTTTTTGTTATCCAACTTTTCTGAAACAGGCTATTTTTCTACTTTCTCTATGTGCATTGTATTTCTGTACATTTTGCTGATAAGAATGAATAAAAAACATGATTACATCCATGGCTGCTGGTCTGTGTTCAGACAATAATAACAGCAATGTCTTATTCACCTCTGTTTATTACATTCAGTCTTTTTCTATTAAAAAAATGTAGCAGCAGTACACATCCAGTTCATTTACAGTGCCTAGTAGAGGAAGTGTTACGTTTTCAGCACCAGAAGTCGATCAACACTTCCCATCTTCTCTTTTCACAATTGAGGTCGGTTCACTGAATTTGCAGCTCGAGCAAAGCCAGGACAGTTTCCATTCATTTGGCTTTTTTCTTGGCCTGTAATAGAGTATAACGTTTCAATCAATGGCCATCTATCCCGACTGCATAAGTCCAGCAGGAGGATTGCTGACTTTAATCACTTACTGCAGCTGTAAAGCAGGTCTTCAGTGCTTCAAATTCCTTGGCACACATGTCCTTCCTCAGCTCCTGTCTGCCTGTTGTGGAAGCTGCCACACACTTCCCATACATTGCTCCCTGAATCACACACAAGTGGACATTAGACAAAGGAAAACAAAGTAAGTTGTCATCTTCTTTCCCTAATTGTGAAAGAAAAAAATCACATGTAAAATGAAAATTATCCTGTTATTCTACTGTATCTACTGTGCTGAGCTCTTGTCTGCTTCTAGCACACCCTTGGCCATTCTTACAACCTAGTTTCTTTGCACCACAATTGAAGTCACATTATACATAATGTGTGTGCAAACTGCATCTATATAAATACACTATAGTGTCATCTTTCTTCTTTGTTGCTTTTAATCTGTCATGTCTTATTTATTATTTTACAAATGTTTGTCCTACACTTATTGATTTTTTTCATACAATTGCTGTTTGTGTTGCATTAGGTAATGACAGTAAAGCTCAACCTATTCACCCAAAGCTAAACCCCAGCCTACATATATTAATAAACATCGAATCAAATAAATACACCAACATACTAATAGTGAGGTGGTCTGTAGCTACACAAACAATGGGATCCAGAAGTATGATATACCTTATAGTTTCATAACCGGGATGCTCTTGTAACCTGCACTCTGCAGTCTTTATTGTAGCAATTGTCAGCATTAGGTATCAAACGCACTATACAGTATTACAGCAGTAGCCCATCAACATTATTAACGTTTAAATGCTGTTCAATAAAAATATGGCCTCGTTTATTAGCTATGGGGGGAAGCTGTGTTTTGTAGTAGCACAGGCAGCTAGCTAGAATTCATTTGAATGTGAACTGTGTCTGAGTTGAGGACGTACACAGAATTAAACAGCACAATTCCCCTTGTTCAGATATGACAGCAGTGCTTACCTCTCCTGCACACTGAGCAAAAAGTTCAGGGAAAAGTCTCATTTTCTCTCGACTGCGACTCCATGCATTTGACCCAGACATGGTTACTGTTCAGGCGAGTCCTTTCGTTTATCAATTAATAGACTTCACAGTTTGTTAAATGTACTAACACACGTATAAAGCTGTGAATAAAAAAGGTACACATCAACCCTCGGATGAAGCATTTCTGTAAACCATGGAAAGCGCCATATTGTTGACCCTGTCATCAAGGAAACGTCCAGCAGGATATTCTGTAATATGATTCGTTCATGTCCCCGTCAATCAAAGTGTCATGTCTAGTTTCCCTGAAGTTGATTCGCTGTTTCTTTAAATGTAGGCGTAACCAGAGAGCCAATAGACTTTAGGATTGCTACTTACTGCTCTGTGATTGGCTAGCTATCACCTCGGGTACCGCCTTCCCCTCGTACCCCTCGGAGGAAGATGAGTAAACCCGCAGCCAGGATTGCTAAATCATGGCAACATTCATGGAACGACTGGCTTTTCTTCAGAAAGTAAGAGCTGTTTACGACCATTACTTGTTTTGAATACTAGTAACAGCTGAACGGAGCGTGACGTACGTTAGCGTGTCTGTTTGTGTCAGTTATTAAGTTGTGCCAGCACTAGCTTGCTAGTAGCCTGCTAGCTAACAGTAAGAAGACACAGATTTGCTCATTGCGTTTCATGTCATTTCCCTGTTGACCTGCCAGCTTGTTTCGTAGAAGTCTTAAAGCAGCAGAGAGGCATATACAGCATCGTTATAACGGTCTGTTTGGCCAAAGCTAACCTGGTACTCGGACCCTGGTGTCATGCCAAGTTTGTGTCCACCTCAGTCTGTGTTTCGCCGTTAATCAAACTGTGAAGTACAGCGGTTAGATCAGGTGGATTTGGTTGTGGACTGTGCAATAACAAGATAGTCCCTTATGTCAGCTTTGAACTTGTATCACTTTTTTTTAAACCATCATCTTTTCCACCAACTGAAGGTCCCAACTCTGATGAAGGCTACAGCAGATGATGAAACCCCCTGTCCTGGCTACCTTTTCCAAGATATTGGAAGTATCCTTTGCCAGCTTCTTATGCACCACTTTAAACAAAGGCTGGACAACCATTGATCCCTTGTTAATGTAAAGTTTATAAAGCTCTCAAATGGAGAATGACCATACAAGTCATATTGTTTTCCAGAAACCCGACCAATGAAAACTCTTCAGGGAAAATAACTGGATGGGAATCCATCCATGGTTTTATATTTGGATCCAAAAGCAGGACAGCATTTAAAGTTTATTGTCCTGAGCAGGAGTCGGTAAAAAACAAAAGCACATCAGTAATTTCCACACCAGAGTTCATGATACAAACAAGGAAGCAGGAAAGTGCTCTTCATAGTTATGTTGTTATTTTCTGGTATTCTAACCAGGAAACAATCACTTTTCTTAAAATAAGACATACTGAGTCTCTCATGCTATGGTGGTAATGTCCTTAACCATCATCACACTGTAGAAATCTCCCATGAGTCTTCAGGTTGCGGTCAGTGTTTGCTGGAGTACCTTCTGGAGAGGTTGCAGGTGGAGTCCTGTCATGTCAAACTTAAGGTGAGAACAGTGATTATTATTCTACTTTCTGTCTGAAATATGAAACTGAAGTGGAGTTGTGGCATAAGTCATAATGTATACAGTTTTAAATGTTAGTGATTTTCCTTCCTTTCCTGTCTGCGAGTAACTCGAGGTTCTGCTCATGCTGCTGGTGTTTTAGGTGCTGAAGATCTTTGTCCATCTTTGTGGTCATGGCTCAAACCATTTCCTCACAGAACTTCGAAGGAACTCCACGTTCATCCAGCAGGCAGCAGGTTAGACATCGGCCCCTTTTGGCTTTTAGCTCTATTTGACTCTTATCACTCTGCGGCCGCTTCGTCGTTCTGAATATTCACTCACTGTCGGGTGTTTTGCCTTTTTTAAGTTTACAGCGGCCCTCCTGATCCCATCCATGGCATAGCATTGTACCAGAAAGTGAGAAATACAGCACAGGTGAGCCCCAGGCTGCAGTTAATCATCATGTCAGTCATAACTCTGTGACAGCGAGGCAAACATGCTCAACTTTTACTTTTTCTATTTGCAGGAAGTGGCCAGGTTGCTTTTCACAGATATCATTTCCACCAAAGACGGCGTCTCCCCGCTCAACTTATCCCCCCCAACAATGGGTGAGTGATAAATAATGATTAATATAATAAAGTGCCATTAACTTCTTTACTAAATCTATTTAGGTATCTTTTTTTGAAAAACCCATAAATATCTTAAATGCCCTGTACACCCTCGCATGTGTTTTCACTTATTCTGCTCAGATTGAATTGGCGATACTGGAAATAATGTGACGGTCCGAAGAACCGAGCTAATCAGTCACAAGTGAAAACACCTGTGCAGATGTACCAGGGCTGTGTAGGGCTGCAATTAAAGACCCAAGACTCACGTTCTGCCAGATAGACTTCTTATTTGCTGTTTATCTAAATGACCATCTTCTAAATAGTCTTAGTATTGCTTTTTACTGATAAAAGACTAAATGACTCAATAAGAGATTCAGTAGATATAGTATTCAACCAACTTGGAAACAGATCAAAATTTTTGCAACTCATTCCTACTGTCGTATGTAATGATAGTGTACATCATCTGAAATATTAGAGAGAGCTTGATTGTCTATAAAGAGCTTGAATGATTCAAATAACTTGCATCAGAGTACCAGAGGTCTCCTGTGTCTTTGTGTCCAGGTATGGGCTCAGCAGCTTCCCACCGGTCAGGAATGCAGGGCTTTGGATGCAGTCCAGGGAAGCAGGGGACAGGTGAGGGACACACACACACACACACACACACACACACACACACACACACACACTGACACAAATCTAGTTAAGCTTCCGTGTACATTTCTGTACCTTTTTTTTTTTTTTTTATGTCTCTACCTGCTCCTACCAGCAGGCAGTGACTCCCTACTGGATAAGATCCAGAAAGCTGCAGAGGTAGTGGCCAGTGCTGTCCTTCCCCCCACCGAACACCAGGGCATCCGTCTCCATGAGAACCATTACCGGGCCGTAGCTGCGCCGGCCGCACCCATAGAGGTGGCTGTGCCTGCGTGTGCCTACAACCTGCCTGCTCGCCCACCAAAAGGTGAGACGTTGTCGGTGTGATGGACGCGTGGGCTTAGGTTTCTAAATAGATAGCTTGAATCTGAAATATGTATTTGTGTGTGAATCATTTACCAGCTCACTTTGTAGCAGCGTGTCAAGACTTTATATTCAGTTTGGTTATAAACTTATTTACTCCCGTGTGTCTTCACGGCAGCATTGGCCCAGCGATGTCCAGGGCAGGTGGGAGGCGGCTGGGAAGAGACAGACAGCGGCAACAGCTCTTCTCATAACTCTTCTCAGGATATGGCAGCTAACAGCAGGGCCTCTGTGGGCAGCAAGTCAGCCGGTACCGGGAGCCAATCGGGGGCCAGTAGAGAGAGCAGTGGGGACCCATCAGAAAGGTGAGCGGCAGAGTCGACCGGCTAAACCAGCAATTTCCCTCCCTAAATCACACCATAGTCACATTGGAGAAGTAGTGTAGTCTCTGGATCTCACACATCCTTCTGGCCTCCAGGGTGGAAGCCTTGCAGTTGGGGGACTGTGGCCAGGAGGTGGCGCTGATCAGCAGACTGACCGAAGGATCCAGAGTTTTCCTGTCCAGAGAGGAGAGCCAGCACTTCATTAAAGAGTCAGTGCATCTAAACTCAGACTGAGAATACTGCTGACTTGTTTTTTTTTTTACTAACAGTATTATTTCTGTCTCATTTGATCTGTCAGGTGCTCCATTCTCAACTGCGAGGTGGTGGTGGAGTTGCTCTCAATCAGGCTTCAAGATCCCTCAAACACTGTTAAGATGGTACCATTGGTTAAGATTGATCGGAGATCCATGTTTTCTAAATTATAGAATGCAATCCTAATATACATATCCCTCTTTTCCTCCAAACCTGCAGCGGGCACTGTGTGCTGTATCATGCCTCCTGACCTCTGACCTCCTTTCTCTGGAACAAATGTTTGGAGCAACACAACGAAGGCTCTGCCAGCTGAGTGAGGGGGCTCCAGGACCTGTGGCCAACAAAGCCACCAAGGTAAGAGAGACCTAAAGAGAGAGAGACAAAATGGTGAAGACTCACAGGACACTCAAAATGAGGGTGTATTTTATTTTTTGTTCTTATCTCCTCTTACCAGATCCTGCGACAGTTTGAGGCTCTGATGGGTGGATCCGTACACACTCCTCGGCAGGATACAGCGACCAGCGGCCATCAGGCAACTACCAATCAGCTTACCACATCTACACACTCTTTGCCTCTACTACCAAACCACTCTGCTGGCAATCCCAACCTCAACCATTATCAGCCTGACATCTCACCCACAGGTGTCACCCAACCACCATATCCCCCTTCTTCCCCCTCTAGTCTGCCCTCGGCCCAGAGAGACCTCCCAGGGGAGCTGATGAATGACTGCGATGAGGAGGAACTCACTCCCATTCTGCATGACTTGGTGCAGAACCAGTCGGAGCCAGTCAGGACTGCTGAGGTTACATCGGTTGCTGAGGAATCAGAGCTGAACACAAGCTCTTCCCATCCAGCTGAGCCCCAGAGAGAGCAGGCCTGTCTGGGCAGACTGTCCCTGTTCAGTGGCATGGAGCTGGTGACTAAGGGGAGGCCCCCGTGTGCACGAGAGACGTCCCAGACAGAGACGATGGCCGACGGCTTAATGGAGAGTCTAGCTGTGCAGAACAGTCTCGGCATCAGTAAAACCAGTGATGACGCTCCTTTAATTTGCAATTCAGTTGCATCTGATAGCAGCCAACCAGTATCGGCCTTCTCGTTCCTCAACTTTTGACCACTGACGTTGTACAGCTGGTAAAACCAATGATGTCGTCATGTATAAACTTTTAGAAATCTATTTAATTTTATAAATTAAGATCAGATCTGTATGCTTAGAACTATATATAGACTGCACATTCATTGGATTTTTCGGTTCCTATCTGTACGGTGCCTACTGGGAAATTGCATTTAAGCAGCAGACTGGGCTGAGCGACAGAGATTTAGGACACACGACTGTTGTCCTTTTTAAAAGTGAATTCAATCCACAGTTGGCATGAGAAACCCCAACGCCGTCTTATGTGAGGACTGGTCTGTAAGTGTCATTTCTGAAAAGTGTTAAACAAGAATGCTTGCCTTGAATCGCAGGTTATTATTGACGGTTGCTTTATCTCAGGATTCCTTTTAGCTAACTGAAACAACTCTTCTCGCCTCTGCAGCACGTCCTAAACCTCTGAGGGAGAATCCCTCCATTTGTAATTTGCACTACAGTTGCGTCTCTAATCGTCTCATAAAACCTACAAATGAGAGTTGTCTTCCATATTTTTTTTTGGTACTTAACAGTTATGTCAGTGTAAATGTAACGAGTGTTGGTTTACAAAGGATTTATCGTCTCATGTATTGATTTAAACAAACCCATGAGTGGTTGTAGAGTGCATAAATCAAGACTAGTGGATAACTAAAGGAAGAATATTTAGTGTGCATAACTTGTGTGGCATTGTGTGACAGAACATCAGCATAATGCAAAATAGCAATTTCACGTGCGGTCGTTTGTGTAACCAAATACAAGGCAGATTACCTTCACTGTCTCAGCGTTGCTGTTTCAGTTCCATTCTCCACTGCGGCGTCGAGGACTGTGGAATGTAGCACACACTACATGCCAAAATGGTAATCCAACCTACCGATATGTACAATGAACGCTACCGATGTATTCTGTTTCAGTGAACACAATCTAAGCTGCTGCAAAAGCCGAGGAAACAATAAAACCTGCTGTATTTTTTTTTTTTTTGTTACAGCACCAACTACTACACAGACGAGTCTCGTTATTCTGTATTTAAATGGTGTCGGTGACATGTTGCAGACAACGCTTTATGTCAACGCCAAATGATTTGGAAAAATGACAATATGAATCACTTTCACAGCTCTCATTTTATTTGCAACACAGTGTACTGGTCATATTGAACCATACAGAACCGAGTATGGCTGACAGGCGTATGACGCGCGCGCGCGCACACACACACACAATGCGTAAAATGTTAAACACATGGTTACAAACTGATTCAGAGAGCTGTTTCTTGAGGCTGTTTTTGTGAGACGCACTGTGCTGAGCATTACACCGCCTGAGCCGCAGACTCTGGTAGCCGCTCTCACAGCGCTATAATTAGCCAGGATCTAATCTGAGGTTGGATTTTGATGGTGAGGCTCATGAAGAATCTCTGTTCCATTACCTTGAACCCCTTGAACTGCCACCCCAAAAACCTTAAAGAGTCATAGTGGAAGTAACTGCAAATACACTCTAATTTAACTTTCACCTTGGGTTAGAGAACACAAAGAAGGCCAGAAATGATATTTTACTGGATTGTTTTATTAATGCTCCTCGAGAAGGAATCCTATGGCCTCCATGAACTTCCTTTGCGAGTGGGGATCGCAACATCTCCCACTTCACTGACACAAACACGCGGCTGACCGTCCCCAGTGGAGAGTAAACAGAACGAGCAGTTATTGAGTAAAGTGCTTTGCTTTATTTAGTTTCACAAGCACTTTGGATCATCGCACGTTTCTTGAGATTAGCACCAATGACAACGTCCACGCATCAACGCACGCATGTAAAGAGAATGATTCCTCTCTGTAAAGTGCACAGGGTGCGTGCACACACACACACACACACACATCAATACTGCACAGAAAACCACAGTGGCTGGGCCATGGAACAGCAGATGTGCTTATGGTCTTGACAAATGGTACATGGTGAGGTGGGGGATGAGCCCATTGTGCCCAAAAATCTGTAAACCTCCCCACACATCATCCCCTTCCCCCCCCCCCCATCCCTTGACCCAAATGTGCTCCTTGAGGCTTTCAAGGAGGAGCCACCGTGACAGCAGTGTCAGCACTGATGGGCGGAGGGACGACCGGTCAGGAGAGGGATCCGAGAGGTCACGGTCATGTTGAACCCGGACGCCCTCTGGTCTGCAGACTACTGAAGTGCGCCTCCCTCAGGACTCTGTTGATGTCGTCGTAAGAGACACTGCTGCCATCGCCATGGAAACCATGCTGCAAGGAGCCACCGGAGTCTTCAGGCGTTGGGCTGAGGGAGCACTGGGGGATGCGGTTGTTCTGGCTGTGTATGCACGGCCTGGTGGTGGCCACCAGCGCTCTCTCTGGACTGCTGATCCCATTGCTGCTGTCGCTGCTGGAAGACTAAAACAAAACAAAAAAAACAGAACAGAGACGGGCTCTGAATTGGAGCTTCGTGGATGGATGCAGATGCTGTAAATAAAACATTCGCTGCTTTTTTTTTTTTTTCTTTCCCTGACAGTGGTGCATTGCATACGCGATGCAGAGTCCCGTGTATTTATACACATGATTTCAGGCCGCTTGCCCCGTCTACAGACGTCAATAGGCTTTACATTAGATGGAAAATAAATGACCTTGGCAGATTTATCCTCTCCCAAAAGAACACTGATGGTCTGACGACGAATGTAAAGATCGAGTCAATCTCACCTCTGAATCCAAATCCGACAGGAGCAGGCTGGGACCCCCTCCTGACCTCTTGGCCTGAGAACTCAGCTGTTGGTCCTCCTCACTGTCACAGCCGCGGTGTCGTTTCCTGTGCAGAACAGAAATGGAAGGAGCATCGAGTGAAGAGAGTGCAGTAAAGTGAACATAAAAAAAGTGAAGGAGAGAGTGTGACAGAAACGACGCAGGCAGGGGGGGGGGAAGAGTATCAGAAAGAGAGAAAATGAAGAGGAACCAAAAATAGCAACTCAGGCAGTTATATGATCAGACATGTGGCACTCCCATTATGAGAGCACATTGATTAACATACCTTCACTGGGGTCTATACATAGAGATTAAACACACTGTGCACATAACATTGATACTGCATTATCAAACTTGGTATTAGATTACTGTAATAGATGCCTTAGTTACAATGTTGCATTACAGCAGTCAAGCAATCGTCAAATGTAATATTGGATGTAATATTAGCCTCTATTAATGAAAGATGTGTACAAACGGTTGTTCCTGTTACCTGCTGTCTGTCAGCATTTCTGCAGTGTTGACTGATGGGGGGGTGGTTTGGCAAAGAGAAAGGTTGACACTCCTTTTTGAGCCGGATTCAGATATCTTATTTTAAAGCTTTGGTTTTGTCACAGCTCCACGACCATTGGCAACCTCGCGCTCATCTCATCAGAAAGTCTCGGACGTGCGAGTGAGCGATCCCCAGACGGCTGAGGCGCAGGTCCCCGTGGGTAAAGCACAAAGCTCCGCTGTGGGTTAGTCCAGACCTGTCACTGGTCCAAGTACAGCCCGCCCTGCCTACGCCTCGGTGGTGGAACAAGCTGCTTGCTGGGCGTCTGAGAGCCAACCCGCTAACCACTATTCTCGTTTACGCAGTCAAATCTCGAGAAATACCGGGCATGACAGCGAGCTAGCCTGCTAGCTGCTACCGTGCGACGTTATGCGAGCTAACTACTTTAGCTAACTACCGCTGCGCTTGCACTAACGTTCCGCGTACTGACGAAGTTCTTCCGCTTTCGTATTCCGTCCAGCTGCCGTCAGTCGTAGTTAACTGTTGAATGCACTTAACACAACTCCGATTCCACAAACTCAATGAGAAAAAAAAGTTTGATGTATTTTAATTGTAGGATAACCGATAATAGGAGGTCGTTAGGTGTGCCATAGCAGCGAGCTGGTCTTCTCTGCTGGTCGTCAATGTTTCCCTGAAAGAGCTCCGCCCCTCTGTTTACCTGACGTCATCAGAGTAAGTACACAGCGGAAATGGATTCCGGTGTCAACACGGTGAACTCGTTTACTTCTAAACATTGGGACAGATTATGCTTCTTTTTTTTTAAACGAATAAATCCATTCATTTCCCGTAAAAGAGGGATTTTGATAGAGCGTCGAGGTGAGGCGTTTGCGTTCTCGAACGGAAGTGTATGTACAAACATGTATAACGTGTGTGTGTGTGCGCGTGCGCGCGCGTGTGTGTGTGTGAATTGATTTACTTTCACATTTAACATTTCCTTGTAGACAACTAACACTACCTTTGTTATTTTATATACCCTCCTCGTGCAGTATTTCATGCACTTGTATACATTTCCATTCAACTTCATATGTAGTGTATATTATATTGTTTTATATTTTCTGTAACTTATACATTTTCCTAGCAAGCTCCAATTTGGCTGCTATAAAGGTCACATGACTGGGCATTGATCAAATGTTTGTCATAAGTCCATAGGTGGCTGTAGTGGGTCAAAAAATGATCTCTATGTGTTAGCAAAGCCATGTCGCAAATTCCACCTTGACTCTATCTGTAACCGTGCTACTGCTGTCTACCTCTCCTGCAGATGAAGGTGATCCGGCACTCTGTCGAGACACTGCAAAGAGCTCTAGTCTCCAATCGGCAGGACTTAGCTGAGCTGTACAGAAAGTACACAAAAGAAGAAAGGCATCTTCTGGAGGAAGGATTCCACCCGGGGCAGCCGAGTGCCCTTTTCCAACCCATCACAGTGCACTCTGACTCAGACTGGGTCTCTGCTTACCCTGAGAAGCCTCAAGACTTCGAGAAGTTCTACGGAGACCATTTGCGCAAGACCCCCAATGCAAGCCACAATACCATTTATATTCAAACCATGTTTGTGTCTAGTGGGGCTACAGCCTCTGTATTCCTCAGTCCTCATGAAGTGTGTTTGTGAAAATAATGGTCATTGTTTAAAGAAAGGACATGTAAGTATGTGCATATGTGATTGCCAGTACAATAACTCATAACCCTTAAGCAGTAAAAGTAAACATGCCATCCTGTCACTGAATGACCAAAAGATGACAAGACATTCAGTCTACATTGTGAGCTATGCAGATGGATAAGGCATCGATCCACAATATGTTATACAGGGGGTTTTGTGCAGCATGTTACATAGTTGGCTGACCTTAATTCTGCACTGTTTCTCGTAGGTTCCTTTGGGGACGCGGGGGCCGAGACAGACCGGTACGTGGAGTGGCTCAGAGAATACTGTCAGGCTTTCTTCTACGGGCTTTCTGTCAAGCTGCTGCCGGCCGTCACTGTGCCCGAAACAGGATGCTCTTTCAGGGTTAACAGTAGCTCGCACAACCTTCAGATCCTCACTGGTAAGTTAGGGAGTCCATCACTTTTACTTAAAGCTATAGCCTTCGTTGTACCATCTATCTGTTGGGGGGGATGCAGTGAACTCCAACTGGACTGTGCATCATTTTGTTATTGTTTTCGTGTGAAATTTAGGTGACCTGCTACAATTCCTGTGGAATAGGAAACCAAAAGATGCTTTTTGTATTGTTGGGATCACAATGATTGACCTCTACCCCAAAGACTCCTGGAACTTCTGAGTCTTCTGAGAGGCTTCTCTCAGCATGGGTGAGATTTGTACACCTTTCATAAGAAAATATAACTTTCTCTGTAAATTTGCTGTTGAAATACCAGGACAATACTAAAAAAGAGGGAAACATTGCTTCGTAGTTGAGGAATATTTTTTAACAAAGTGAAACATACACATACTCATTTATCATCAGTAGTCTCGGATGGTGTAATGTGGTTGAACTGCCACTAGATGGTGCTAGAAGAACAACATGCAATCCAGGAGAGATTTTTGTTTCCTTACTGATATCCTCTCAGCCCTGCTTGCAAGAATGGGTGTTTTCAGCTTTGCCAGGTATGATGACAACTTCTACAGCCAAAGTTATGCTGGGAGGCTGAAGAAAAGGCTCCAGACTACTCTGTGTTTGACGGATATTACACTCCCCCCATCACCAGCACCCTGCTGCTGCGTTCCTGCAAGGTTTCTAACAAACACGCTCCACCACTCACTCACTTTTTGTACTATGAACCTTTGAGTGGTCTTGCCAAACGTCCTCCCATCCCTTTAGTCAATACTGCTGACCTTTTTGTCAGAACACTCTGATGAAAGATGTTTCTTTACATACAATGACCCATGAGATTGGACATGTTTGGAATTCACCATTGCCAGTGGTTGAGCTGGATGATAAACCCAAATTCATCTTTTTTATCTTTTACAGTAGACAATAACATACAGTATAGCGGTACAACCTAGTTAAGACAGCACCACCATCATGACAGGTTGAATTTTAACCATACTGAGTTTTCCAAGTATAATCTACACAAACTAGAACACATGAAGGTGCTTTACACCTCAATAGAAAGAGCTGCTCTTGATTATATTTTTACATATTCGCTCCTGTGTCATTTTGATCACGGCTCACCACGACATCAGATCACAGATTAATGCAAAGACACAATCAGATGCATTTATGTTTCTTTTTTGGCACTTCCTTTAAGTGAAAGTTGAACTGTGGTCGACAGGCCTTACTGCACTGGATGGAGGGGGATCAGAGTCAAACGTCTGGACCAGAGGAGGCCACTTCCTGTCAGTCTGTGCCCCACTTCTCCAAACCCACTGAAGCCTTTCAGACATCCAGACTGTGGCTCAACAGGTGCCTCGACATACTGGGAAAAAGATGAACGATTGTACTTGTTCATAAGTCTGGAGAAAATCTGGAAATATTTGCAACAACTGCAATTTTTCCTGACTGTTACACTTAATTTCCGGACGACTAGACGGCCCACTAGAGACTTAATAAGGTGTATATTGTGTGGTGCTAGTGTTTCCAGTTTTCTGAATCTAAATGATGTAAAGATGCAATATGTACATACAATATTTTTACGTTAAAGTATATCAAATCAAAATAGACAAATAGATTAGCAGTTGAATGAGTTGCTTTTCAGTTGAGGTTCATAAAAACAAAACCTTTCAACGTAATTAAGTGATTCAAATCACTCTTGCTTTATTATGAAAAATTTTTCGTTACAAAAACAGCTTGATTCTGACATTTCATATCACATAACATTCCATTGTGTCAGCTTGGTGACCGTTTGATTAAAAAAATACACTTTTAATTACATCTCTTGAGCTTTATGTATTTTCTATAACACGTTACAGAATCCGGGCAATGTATTATTATTCTCACAGCTACATTTGAATCACAGTTTTTCTGGCATGGTTACGGTATTGTTTGCCAGCAGTTCATCAAGTCATAGTGTTACGTCTTACCCTCTGCAATATCTAAAACTGAGGCACCTCCATTCAAGCTTCATCAGTCCATTTTGAACATGTCCATACTTTGCAGTTATATCTGTGCGTTAAGGCAAGACTACATCAAAAGCTTTATTCACTTAAAGCTAATTTAGTAGTCTAACTTTTTAAAGAATTTTAAGAACATTGAGTCTAGAATAAAACACAGTCTGGTACATTAGGAAGGTAAGGCACAACAGATCATGTAGTAAAAGTTCTGAGGAATGCTCTCGGATCATAAACATCTTTGGTCGTTCTCTTCATTGTGTCACTTCAGTACTTCACAGCTTTAGTCTTAAGACTGTATTTTACCCTCATGCTTCCCTCTTTTATTACCCTTCCTCCATCTTATCAGCCCAAGCTGAATGTATTAAAGTCCGGGACATCTCTTGTGGCCTCCGTCTGGTCGTCTACTTCAGAGCAATCCTGAGGACTGTCGGGTCTTTTGTACGGTTCAATCACTACTCTCTGTTGCTCAGAGTCCGCTTCCCTTTCATCTGCGTCTTCGGGGCGTTTGGAGTTCCTCCTCCTACAGAGTAATCCTTCCTTCGCACGCTTTACCAAACTCAGGAACAGGGCACTAAGTCCCATGCCGACTGCACAGGAGTAGAAGGCGGATCCATAGTTCTGAGTCACATCCACCAGCACACCTGCGGATAGAGGAGAATTAAAAAGGGGGCACTCCCAACAAATCACCTGTCATGAGGAGTACAACTAGTGCTTCCTGTGGCTCTGCAGCGGGCTGAGAAAAGAACCCTGATGATGTCATAGTGATGTCATCAGGGTTATCTCACTTTGGACTTGGAGACTAAGTGACTCAATTTTTTTAACATAAAACCTGTATTACAAACTTAAGGTGGGGAGTTCACAAGACACTTACAAGAAAGGAAAGGTCTTACGAGAAAAAAAAGCCACTGAGCTGCATTGTGGGAAATGTAGAATTTGGTGTAGATATTTTGCCTTTCACCTTTTTGTTGATCTGTCTTCCGCAAGTCCCTTAACTTTATAGAAGTGAAGTACTATAAGATGGAGTATCTCTTTAAAGCAGACAACAGCTATTCCATCAGAAAGCCTCTGAAAAAGATGATAAATCAATATTAGATGTAATCTGATCTTTAATACAAACTAGACCTCAGAACAGCATTAATGCAGTTACTGTTGCTTTAACTCATTGTCTCTCTCTCGCTCTCTTGCTCTCCATCTTAGTAGCCATGACTTTACTGTGCGACATGTGCATACAGTCGATGGAAAATCATCCTTGTGTGTATAGAAGATAAAAGCTGTAGTAAAGTGAAACCATAGCCAGTATCTATAATACACTTATCACTGCAAAATTACTCTTACCTCCAAGTGGGGGTCCAACCAGCCCAGCAAAGCTCTGTATGAACACATAGACGCCAGCGGCCGAAGGCATCCTCTCTATGCCCACCACGTCATCCTCAGCCAGCATGGGGATGTGGCTGCATGATATTGTTCCCATAAAGAACCCATATAAAGCGCAGCACACAGCCAGGCCGTAGAACTCCGCAGCCAGAGTGAATCCAACCAGATCCCCCGTCATTGCGATCACGCACACCAGAAGCACAAGCAGCTTCACCTTCCTGAACCGCTCCCGCGTCAGGATCCACCCAATGGAGAGTCGGCCAAAGATGTCCGCCACGGCCATGATGGAGAGCGTGTAGGTGGCGAGGTCCCGCTCCACGCCGCGACTCACGCTCAGCTCGATGATGTAGAGCGGAGGGGCGAAGAAGCCGAGCATGGCGAGCAGTCCGAACAGAGAGTAGAGAATGAAGCTGCACTCTCTGAGGACGGAGAAGTCAAGAAGTTTTGATTTCTTTGCAGATGGCTTTTCGTCACCGGATTTCATTCCCCCACCTTTCATCACTTGTTTCTCTGCATCTTCGCTCTTTTTCTCCTCCGTTTCACATTCTCTCACCTCTGCCACAGTGTTTTCCACAGTTGTCCTTGCTTCTTTGTGCAGCAACGTCTTCTCCGGGCTGCTGTCGTCTGTGTCCTTTAGAGACGGGTCACTGGAGACCCCAGTGATCAAAGAGCCTCTGGTTAGGTCATTGTCTGGACCATGGGAGTTTTTTTGTGCATGTGAGGTATTGTTTATGCTACAGTCCTCTATGTTTGTGCCCTCGCCATTTTCTGATGTACTGAGAGCTTCCAGGTCCTTGGAGGACAATTCGTCAGTCTCTGTGTCATGGGTCGATCTGGGTTTGATAATGATTGGCCGAAGCAGAGCACCACCGATTATTATGGTGCTCTGCAAACCTCCCATTACTGCCATGGTATGTCGCCAGCCAATACGGTCCCTCAAGGCAGAAAAGGCTGAGGGGCAAGAGGAGGTATTAAGTGAGTATTCATCAATTAAACTGCATGCACAATAAGGTCATAAGTATGGAGAGTTCGAGATGTGATTTGTGTATACAGACTATTATGGAAATGCACAAAAGAAACAGAGGACATGACTTCTTGGTGCCGTCAGTGGTACGTTTAGCTGTGTTTCTCTACGTTACAAGATAAAGCGAGCAAAGTCCAATGAAAGGGCTGAAAACAACAATGTGGTGGTCTGTTTCTCAATACCTGTATTTGGCTCTTAGCCAAGCCCAATAGTTCCCACTATAGGCTTCAAAACAGGTAAAAACTACATAGTTTGATTTTAGAAATAGGCTAAATAACTTCCTCGAACAGCTGGGCATTGGTTATTGAAGATTACTCAAACAAGAATAAAGTGTGTATTTGTTATGGACTTTTTATAATAATTCAAAATAAACTACAGTGCCCATGTTCATGTTAAGTAAGAAAAATGTCAGTGCAAATGTGGCTATTGATGTGTTTTTTTAATAGTTGTTGGACAACTACATGGATTAATTGTTAGTGGGATCAGTTGAATTACTCTTTTCTTGGTCATTTTTGACAGTTAGAAAAATATAGAATATTGCGAGACTTAACCTTTATAGCCCCGGAATCTTCCAATAAAATTATTTCTTTACACATTTTACTTAAAAGTCTTTCCTTGACTTTTCCTGTCACTAAGCTGTACAAGTCACCCTGCCTTAAAGAGTTGCAAATTTAAAAAAAAACGAATTGGTCGCATGCTTTTCCTTAACCCCCGTACAAACGCGCGTCTTCTCCAACCGTCGGCATAAAACGTCAGTGGAGGCCGTCGCACTCACCTGGTGCTAGAGCGAACATGGACAGGGACTCTCCAGTGGAGGCCACGGCTGTGACCAGAGACCGTCGGCGTGTGAAATACTGGGAAAGGATGGTCACAGTGGGCAGGAAGGTCAGACAGTAGCCCAGACCTGCACAGTGGAAAAGATTCAAGTTTTTACACTGTAATTCAGCCAGACAAGCCGCTAAAAAGCAAACTCAAAGAATAGTAGCTTTATGTGATGTTCAAATAGAGAGATAAGGGAATAAAAACAATTAAATACCTGCAATTAAACCATAGGTGATGTACATTTGATTGACGGAGCTGGTAAAGCTGGTTGCAATGGTACCGGATGCAATGAGTAATCCTCCGATCATAACAACAGGTTGGAACCCAAATCGGTTTGTCAGCACAGCGGAGAGAGGACCTGAGGCCCCATTAAAAGTTGTTTAGTGTAGACAACAGAACAGTGATTCTCACAACTTCATGATCATTTCAAGCTATAGTCTGTACTTTACCATTGAAGTTCATGACAAACACGCAGATGGAGAGAATCCAGGAGACCCGAATGTTGGTCTCTCCAAACTCCTCCATCAGGTCCTGGAGGAAGATGCCGAAGATCTTAATGATACCGTAGGTGAAAGCCTCCACCACGAAGAAGGCCACAGCAACCGCCCATCCCCAGCCTCCGTCAGGGGCTTCTGGGTACACATTGGGTCCCAAGAAACGTGTCCCCTTCACTCCACACAGTGCCATGCCCTGTAAACGACAAATGACAGTTTGAGTGACTGGCAGAGTGGGGTAAGTCAAAAACAAAATAATGTAGCTGTGAATCTATTAAGTCATGCAAACACCAAAAGGTACAGATCTTGAATTAGAGCTTTGACTTGGCGAAACAATGTTGCAGATATCAGTTATGGATACCCAGTCCGACAATTAAATGTTAAAATGATTTCCATAGTTTTTCCTCGCGATAATTACTTTGCAGATATCCAGAATATTCATTCTAGGTATCAAAAATGCAATTGTAGATAAGAGAAATTGAAAGCACAATGCACAGGAAGGGCATCAGTTTTCCTAGGAAGAATGACGTTATGGATATCTGAAATGTCATTTGTGGATATCTGAAATACTTTGTTTGATTGGCAGAAACAGATTACAGATACCTGCAATTATGTCCACTCTAGTTGTTAAATGGCAAAACGGCCACTTGAACTTTAATGGATTTAAATATATTAGTTTTGAAATATATAAATATAAGTGCAACCAGTTAGATGTCTTAAAATACAATTTCTACTCTTAACAATGTTATTGTGGTTATCTTTAATTACCATTCTGACAAATGAGAATACAAGTTTGACTAGGAGAAATGTTATTATCGAAAATGTAATTAAAGATAGGAGGCTGGTTTGATTAAATGTTAAAATGTCTTGCTTTAGAGGATAAATACTTACTGCTAATAGTCCACAGTTTGGATTTTAAGTGTTTCTATTTTTTCTACTTTTTTCTCTTCATTTCCTTATTTTAATTTCCAAAAACATTTAAAGTATAATTTCACTACCAGATATTATCGAGTTGTTGTTAAATTCTATAACAAATCTATAACAATTTCCTACAGCTAAATGGCAAGGGGGGGATCCTTGTCTGTGCTGCTACATGATCCAACCCACACACACACCTTGCTGTTATTATGACGATCAAATGATTTAACACACACAAGTCACGTTTTGTTTGATCGTGTTTGCCTTGTCCTGTTAACCACATATAATATCATTTAAGTTTAAAACAGGACCATTTACTATCTCTCTTTCCTTAATTGAGAGGAGTGGGAGGGGGAACAAATGCTGAATAGCCCCCGCCATCACCCGGTTGACGCAATGCTCTCAGCCCGGCGACGCAGCAGCGTGACTTTAGTAGCTGCTAATACACACTTTGTAAGTACTTCTATGTCGTCTGTTTGAGCCATACATTTAACTCAACACGTGCCGACTATATACAGTGTTTTACGAAAGCAAACATATTTCAATATTTTGAAGTAGCTTTTAGTAATCGGGTCTCACCTCCGTGTAGCTACTTTCAGAGCGAAGTGACGATATTAAATCCTCAATTCGCTCGACTAGTCCTGCTGTAGTAGCTACCCGCCCATGTCTCGTGCAGCACCTACACATTTTTCCTACACATTGTCACGTGCACATGGTCTGCAAACACGTACACGTGGGGGAAGTGTACACATTCAAACACACGTGACATGCTCTGCCTCATACAATCTCACATTGTTGGGCACCCCCTCCCGGATAATGCACGGAGTGGGTGAGGGGTTTAAGACATCAGACTACCGGGACTTCTTCCCCACAACCCCCGTTAACTGGGGGTAGTAGTAGTCCGGCACAGGTCTTAGGTCATGGCTGGTGCGGGATGGACTCTATTCGGCCACTGTTCCTGGTCCAAATCGCCCACTCCTCAACCTTCCCACACCTAGATATCCCACCACTATCTGGCAGGTGGAATGACAGTAATCTCTCTAAAGTGACCATAAAATTCAGACTTCTTCTGCAGACGGTTTTTGTTTCTTAATGGTACATGCTGATATTTCTTTTTTTTTATTACTTTATTACTTGGGCTTTAACTATTTATCAGGCCTGATCCCTGTTCATGTGTCTGTGTTGGTGATGTGTAATCTGCTGTATAATGATAAACTGGTAATACAAATTGAGCTTGATATCGCCTACAAGAGACTTATAGGAAGAAAATAAGGCAGGGAAACATGGTTGTATTTATCTCAATCTTTGATTACAGGCTAGTTTATTGTTTCCATGGTATTTTACGGCAGTGTTTCTAAATGATTATAATAAATTGTGTGCTCGCTTTATTCTGTCGGGGATTACTTACTACCCTCACTGACTGTCTCATATATATATTTCTTATACAACTTTAATTTCATTTTGTTGACTTTGTCACATGACAAGCTAAAGTTAAATGAAACCTGCGTAACCCTTTGCAGATCTTGACCTAAAATGGTGGCGGCTTTCACCCCGTTTCTTTTGTCTGGGATGCTGATGTGTGGTCTGCTGCTCCACACGGTGTCCCGACATGGAGCCAGTGTGAAGAAGCCCAACTTTATCATCATACTGGCAGATGATATTGGCTGGGGTGACCTGGACGCTAACCAGCCTGAAGAGAAGGCAAACAACACGCCCTACCTCAACCTGATGGCCGAGCAAGGACTAAGGCAGATAACCTATTCCTTAATTCTACACCTGATCTGTTAAGTATCTCTAAAGTCATATTATCAAAGTCTGTTGAAAATCCTGTGTCTTAACCTCTCTGATATCATAGTCTCCAGGGCTTGTACTGCACAGGACATGACAGGACGTTTTCTATACTTTCCCCCTCTGTGACATTCCCTTCAAATTGCCAACAAGGTAAAGTGTCCTTAAAAAGAATCCTGACTTCTTCCAGATTGACAGACTTCCATTCTCCCGCCTCAACCTGCTCCCCATCCCGTGCTGCCATCCTGACAGGCCGCTACGGCCTGAGAAATGGTGTGACTCATAACTTTGCTGTGAGCTCTGTGGCCGGCCTGCCTCTGTCTGAAGTCACCTTGCCCCACCTCCTACAGAAAGCGGGATACTACACCGCCATGATCGGGAAATGGCACCTCGGCCACAACGGACCATACGGTCCTACTAACAGAGGTAAGTGGGAGCTTGACATTTCTACCCCAAAACCACTGGGCACCTAATGTAACACAACAGGCTCAGATGAGGCAGGAACCTCACAGAGGTGTGTGAATTTCGGTTGAACTCATCCCTCATTATTCAGCCAATCAATATAGATTCATTTAGGGTAATTTAGGGTATAAACAATACCTGTGCAGGCCACATAAAAGAATGAGATGTGAGCGTACGTGTGCTGTTCCTGTTGCACTGTAATGTATCTTTCCAGCTCAGTCTCATGGCGTCAGTCAGTTGTTCTTGGCCGATCTAGGCACATGGAGTGTGCGAGGGAATCCCTCTGCCTCGCTGCAGGGAAAAGACTACAAAGGACACAACTCCCTGCAGATGTATCCGGAGAGAAGAGACACTTGCTCTTGACTTTTTCGCTCACAGCTGACTCAACAACAGCCCCCCACTACCACTTGCATTTGTCTCTTGATACGTGGACATGTGGTCTCTGGTGCTTTCGTGAGAACACATAAACTGTTTAATAGGCTTTAGCGCCTGAAAACGGATCACACTGTAGTTCAGAGACACAGTCATTCAGAGGTATTTTATGGTAGACTAAACGTAAACACCAAATTAACGCTGCAAGTGACTCTTTCCGAGGTCAAAAAGGAGCTTTCATTTCTTTCTTATATTAATAAAACTTTCTATATTAGTGGTTGAGAAATATTTCTTCTTGTTAACAATGTGTATTGTCTCTTTGGCAGGCTTCGACTACTACCTTGGTATTCCCTACAGTAATGACATGGGCTGCACTGACATACCTGGATATAATCTGCCACAGTGCCCCCCCTGTGACTCATCGTCTGGGCATCAAGTGATCAGGTGTGGCTCTGTGCTCCTTCTTAAACAAATATGATGCTCTCTGGACATCATTTATTTTAATTTTAAAAGGGACGATGCAATTTCACATAATATAGGGCATGAAGATGACAGAGAGAGGGTTAGTTTTCAACTCCCTAGTTGGGCTTTTACATGAACAGTGCAATTAACATATAGAGCTTTCAATATCATAAAAACACAATACATTCAGAATATGTGGATACATTTAAATACACATCACACAATACCAATACCACAATACATCTTGGTAAGATATTTATATTTGACAGTCAAATTCACTTGTATACTCCAGTCAATTTACCTGTCTACATTCTGATAGTATGATATAAAATGTATATACAACTTTGATATTGAAGTAAAACATAGTATGGCGAGTGCACATGTTATATGTTTTGTGCATTGGGAGTCATAATCAGTTTATAACTTACCAAACACAAACACACTCTGCCACTCAGCCTACTCAGCAAGACGTACGGTAAATAGTGCCAACTTGCTACTTATTCCAAAACCTGTAATCACATACGACATGTACCACGTTATTATTCTCCATTGTTGACATGCTTTAGATTGGAGAGGAGTGTGCACGGAGGCTGTTATTCCAAACTGGGCCTTCCTCTGGTTGAAAACAGCAGTATTGTGGAGCAGCCGCTTGACCTGTGGACACTAACTGAGCACTACAAATCTGCTGCGACCAGGATTATACACAATGCAAGGTACAATACAGCTGCAAACAAACGCAACACAATAAGACATTTATATTAGGCTGCTGACATGTGTGACATTGATAAAACACATTTGAATTTGACACAACCCTCTGCATTACAAGTCATTCTCCTCTCTCATATTTCCTAAATACAGTAAACACTAGTCTAATGTCTACATCATCATGGAACTATAATATACTGTACCATAGTGCCGACCCACAGATGCAAATAATGCTTTAATAAATCATACGGTTGCACTGATTCAATTTCTTCATATGATATTTACAAACAGCATGGCAGATGTAGCTGTTTCTGTTTGAGTTCCCTGTAGTAGATGTTGACAGGCTGCTGCAGTGTAAATACACATGAATGAAGGGGGCGTGAGCTCACCTTTTACTGAATAATTATGCCACCTGGGTGTTTAATTAAGCCGGGGCTCAATGATAAGGATTGCCCGTTTTCCTGGGGCTAGTAAAATGCCACATCGGGCAAGTAAATCTGGCAACTCACTTCAGCTTTTCAATTATCCTGGAGACAGGAGCTTAGTTGGGTGACTTTGGAGGATGTGGGCAAAACTCCTGATTCATTTGCTTAAATAAAGGATACAACAATTGGCTTTAGCCATAGTTGTTATTTGATAACCGCTAATAAATAACACAATTTGTATAGGGGCAAGTAAAAATGACTTTGGGCAAGTAGATTTCTGACCTACTTTGTGTCAGTATGTCGCATGAGGGTGAAACTCAGATGTGGTCCAGAGAAAACTGAAGAAGTGAACCATATCTGTCAATAGGGGAATGAAACAGCCACCCAAACACTCTGCAGTAAAGCTCTTAAAAAGTCGAGTAAACTCTTGTCATTTATCACAGCTTGGAGTCTTTTTTTTTTGCCAGCGTGCAGCTGTTAGCAGTGGACAGACCTGAGCAGTATGAGATGATCACCTGTGTTTCATTTGGGGAAACATGAGGAAGGAAGATCCGGTAAATCTGCAGCATGTGGTCAACATTTGTAACCACCTGTAGTTCATTGCCTTCTAAAAGGCAAACAAATTTACCCACACGGGATGATATGAGGCCGTGCTGCAGTGCACAAAGCAGAGCATCTCTAGACTTTGACCACCAATCTGTCTGTCTTCCATGTTTATGTTCATGAAGGAATATGTCACCCAAGTGCAATGGTATTAGCCATGGAAGATATTGGAGTTTTATTCATATTTATTGAAAAGATTACGTAATGCCAGTAAAGTATGAAGTTTAGGAAATGGAGTTGCCTAATATAAAGCTACCTCTTCATCTGGATAACCTGCCAACACAGTATCGGCTTTGTGAGGCTTGATTTTTTGTGTGTATGTGTGTGTGTGTGTGTTGGAGGGACAGGAGGAGGACAGTAAACCTTTCTGTTTACAGCTGTCTGGCAACTTTCCTTCATGCTATATTACGGGGTCATGTGAGTGCAGCAATTGGTCATGTGCTGTCAACAGCCAACAGTGTACAGCTAGGGTGGTTGTTTAAAAATAAAGTAGAATGTGGCTTCGTCATATTTCTGATAAGTTACACTACATGTACATCGCACATCCCAGTTCAAACACTAGTAGTTGACTAAATTGAGTGAAATTACTTCTGTCTTAACCTTTTTGGCAACTTCTGGCTGTGTAACTAGAAACACAGATCTTGTTGCGATGTAACTGGTTGAAATCTACACATTTACTATGTTTTGCGCACAATACCTTCGGCATTTTATCTCACCCCGTAGCTAAATCGTTAGGATTTTCGGAATTAATTAAACACTTGCATACAACAATTTAAATTCAATGAAACAGTCACTGTGCTACATGAACTAATTCTAACACTCCTACTATAAGGAGTTCTCCGCTTTATCAGCTTTCACTGATTTTGCTATGAGGTATAATCCACTAGTTGGGGGGAAAAAGCCCCCCCCCTTTTTCTTCTCTCTGCTCTGCTGTTCTCCTGTCAGTGCAGGCTCTCAGTCAGCGCTCTGACATTCCTACTTTTCTGGGGGTCTATCTCTCCTTTTTATGCTGTCTTCTGATAGCAAAAGGGTCTTCTGTCCTATAAGTGGGTAAGACAGAAAAAGGGTCTTCTTTTACCCATCTCTGAGGGGGTGGACCCCTAAAGGGTCTTCTGTTCCCTTTAGACTGGGTAAGAAGTCTATCCCATTGTCTAGTTGGGGGAGAAGCCCTAACTATCCCCCAGGGGGTACGACCCCTAAGTGTCTAGTGGAGAAACAGCCCAAATCTCACAGTTTTTCTGCTGATCTAAGGCTGGCACCTCCTTCATTTCATGTGTCACTCACACATGAGTCCTCCTCTTTCTTAGAGCTGACACAGAATGTAACTGGTTTGATCCTGTTAGAACCAGAAGCACTGTATAAGGCTCAAGTGACTATGTTACACAAAGTGTCTGTAACTCTGAACAGTTTATATGTTAAATCACAGCTATCATAAAATAGAACAAGTTATATTATGATGGTTATAAAAAGTGTAAACAAGCTATATGTTGTGCTGGTTATACTTTGAAATCGAAAGGGTTACAGGTTATAATAGCTATACTTTTATGCTTTCATACTTGTCTACGATCTTTCTACAGCATCCTCAAAATGTTCTTGAGTTCATTTGTCAGCAGCATGCTGTATAACTTTAAATCAATCAAAAATACCGCAAAATGTAGTTAAACAAAACTCTAAATGTCATGTTGGGGGGGGTGCCAGTATTGTATGTATGCAAGCCACTGAACATTAGCAAATAAGAAATATAGCAGTTATTGCGTTAAGTTGCACAAATCATTGAAGTTCTCTGACGGGGCGTCACATTATTGATTGTCTCTGCAGGGAGCGAGGACAGCCCTATCTCCTCTACATAGCGCTGGCTCACATGCATGTGCCCCTGGCTCCTCCGCTCCCCCCAGATGCCTCAGCCACCACCCGTCACCCAGATGACGCCAAAGTGTACGCGGCAAGCCTGCGAGAGATGGACGGCCTGGTGGGGGCGGTAAAGAGCGCCTCCGATGCCACAGACAAAGACAATACTCTCATCTGGTTCACTGGTCAGTCTGCTGGATGGATTATGTCTGCTCTCCCACACTAAGATAACAGTGTAATGGTTATCTTATGTGTGCGCGTTGTGTTTAGGTGACAACGGCCCTTGGGAAAAGAAGTGCCAGTATGCAGGAAGTGTGGGACCTTTCGTGGGAAAGTGGCAGACCAGTAGAGGTATGAAAAAATAAACATCCTGAGAAATTCTAAACTCTTTTCATGCATGCTTTATGAGGGGGATTGATACTGTACAGTTTATTGCTGTGAATCCTCATATCCCTGGTGTGTGTTAGGCGGAGGCTCGGCTAAGCAGACTACCTGGGAGGGAGGTCACAGGGTGCCAACAGTGGCTTATTGGCCCGGGAGGATCCCTGCAAACACCACCAAATCTGCCCTGCTCAGGTACTCCCTCCTATGTTTACTTTATACCTAGGGACTCAAGTGTTCACTAGATGGATTCAACCCTGATGACTGAGGCATAGCACTAGTTCTCTGGACAGGAAGGAGGGAATTTATTGACTTTTATTCAAATATGTTTACGACTATTGCATGGATTGCCATGAAACTTGGTAAAAGAGCTTCATGGTCAAAGGATGAATCCTAACCGCTTTGGTGATTCTTTGACTTTTCCTCTAGTGCCACCAGCAGGTGAAAGATTTCAAATGTAAGATTGCATGACACCAAACAGTCTTCTGCTCTCCTCTTCACGTCCTCTTGCAGCGGAATGGACATCTTCCCAACCCTTCTATCCCTGGCAGAGGTAACTCCCCCCTTAGACAGACGTTACGATGGCATTGACGCCACAAATATCTTCCTGCACGGTGAACAGACTGGTCATGAGGTAAACAAGTCGATTTTGTTTTCAGTCTTACTTTTGTTTGTATAAATAATTCCCCCGTACTGTCCGCGGGGGTCGTGGATTAGGTTCCTTGTTGCAGACACAAGTTCTTCTCTTCTGTCTTGTAGTTTCTGTTCCACCCTAACAGTGGGGCTGCGGGGAACTTTGGTGACCTGCAGACAGTTCGAACAGAGACGCACAAAGCTTTCTACGTCACAGGTACAAGTCATACTGTATGTGTCCACAGTGCAAAAACCAGTCACACTACATTACAGTCTCATTAACGTGCGTCTGCAGTGCGGCTTGTTATGTTGTACACCCATCCTCTTTTCTTTGCAGGTGCAGCTGAGGCGTGTGGCGGTGCAACAGGCAGGCAGCAGCTCCACGACCCGCCGTTGATATTCGATCTGGAGCGCGACGAGGCGGAGGAAACACCCCTGGGTGTCGAGACACCGGAATACCAGGCGATAGCGGAGAGGGTCGCCCGCGGGAGGGAGAAGTTGTTGTGGGACATTGCCACCGACAAGTCCGTGTCCACGGCAGACCACAGCACAGACGCATCAGCAGCGCCCTGCTGTGACCCAACACAGGCTGTGTGCCGCTGCCACACACTGGGCTGAGGGGTCGGGAAACCACACACACACACACACAATAGGCTGAAAGAGAAGCCCAAAGACGCCGCAAACAGACGTGGAGACAAATATCTCCTTCAGATGTGCTCAGCTGTTTTTGACATTTTTTTGTCAAGAAGCCGCAGAAATGTGCAAACAAGCAGAGAGCAAAGAGTTGCAGGTGGCTGAACTTTGACCAGTTGGGATTGTGAGATCAATAAAAAAGAAATCTATCAGACAGTAAATACAAAATTACAATTTATAAATCAATTTGTTGCAGAGCAATTCATTAATTAATGTTTGTTGACATCCAAAGGTTAGCTTTGCTGTTGTTATTTGTTGGATATTTTACGATGATTTAATAAAGGATTTAAACATTATCAATATAAATGATGCTATTTGAAAAAAACAAAAATAAAACAGAACTACACCATGCAGAGGTTGAATCACTGCTCAGCTTTAATGAGTCTCTAGTGTCAATGTCCAGTATTGAACAGCTCAATGCAGCGTACGGGTGTCCTAGCAGTGCCACCTTTTGGCAAATCAAATGGCATTACCGTGTTACTTATTACAACAGTACTATATATAAATGTTATATATACATTATACACACAATACAAATCCTCAATATATATTTACGCATTGGTAGGTCTATGCGTTGATGTGTAATACTTCAAAACATTTTGCAAAAGAATATTTCATACATCAAAGTAAAAATAACTTGCATGTTAACATACTGTTTTCAGCATCATTTATAGTAAATACAAATATCAGGATATCACTGAAATTCAAGGACCTGTAACTTTGCCGTGTACAGCTTCACCATCGAGCGTTTCACAGTTAGCTGATGACTCCTCCCGGCACATATTTGTTATCGGGTTACATTTGTGACTCTGCAGGTGTTTAGTCTCATCTAGCGCTACCATAATTAGTGTGACAGCTGCATCTGCAAGTCATATTATACTTACTGCATGTATCATGATTTAAATAGTGTATCACCCTTACTACATCTTTTCCTTCTTGAGGTGTGACACATTTAATGCCCATTGATAACATTCCTCAGGCCTGACAAACATGTCCTTATTAGTTACTTTCAGGTGCTTATTTCTAAGACTTGTAAGTGACAGAAAACAAGAAATGATCTTCAAAGAGTTGACTCATTTCATATAGTATTTATAATATTGTCTGATTGCACTTGGCTTGTTGAGAAGCTGCTAGAATTACCTTCCAGGTGACCTCTCTTAAGAGCATTTTTGTGAATCATGCCCATGGTTACTTCAGGCCAGGCCCGCCTGTCGTCTCCTCTACTACCTTGATATATTCAGTCGGCTCACTAATACTCTGCCAGATCAATCACGTGTACATCTGATTGCTACCATGATAATATTGTGCAACAATAACATCATTGTGTTGTTAGGGTTTCATTATATATATATATATATATATATATATATATATATATATATTAAAAAAGGTTTAACACCGTTGTTAATGGCGTAACATGGGCGTTAACAGTGGGACTCTTGGACAGTCTTTCAATCGGTCTAATATAGTGTGAATGTGGACCTTACCCCCCCCCCCCCTTTTTTTTTTTTTTTTTTTTTTTTTTTTATTCCTTACAAAAAGTGAGAGGGACGCAGAAGACAGAAACACCAGGAAGTAACATTCTGGCAAGATTTGACCCTAGGCCAGCAGGGGTACACGTGGAAGGGTGGGGGTGTCACCATGTCTCAACAGAGGAATAGTTTTGTCCAACTCCCTGCTTGAAACAGTCAGATTGTTATGCAGGGATTGGATTGGATGTTTCGTGAGAGAGGGGTTTGGTCAATTACTCTGGTTGCCGAATGGAGGGAACTCGTTCTCGTCATCCAGACAGACGGGGCCCTCGGCGAACTCGTGTTCTGGGATAACCTCACCCTTCTGGGCTCCGCCTTCCTCAGAGTAACCTGGGGAGAGAAGGGAGGAGGAAAAGAAGGTCTTTGTGGCCAGGAGCCATTTGAGAAGATAAAAACTAATTTGAAGAGTTTCTGGAGTTGCGTAACAATATTTAAAACCTCACGACATTTAGTATAAGAGCTAGAGTAATAAAGTCCACGGTAGGTTTTAAGAAGTAACTGAGACGTATCAAGTTAAGAATCTTGGAAAGGTTTTGATTAGGAGTGCTGTACCCATGAGAGTGGTGGAGGAGGGCGGGGTTGAAGGGAGAGCCACAGTGGCAGCGTATGATTGGCTGGCTGGTTCGGGAGAGACATCCTCCGGATTCTCCTCTTCCTTCTGTTCCACCTGCTCCTCGCTGGAGTCAAACAGCCTGCACGGACAGGGAAGACAAAGGCATCACAACACCCGACTCACTGTGAGAAAACAAGCCGAAACCAATGCCACATTCTACAGCTGCAATCTGCAAAAAACTAAAAGAAGTTATGATATGTTTGATGCAGCTCACTAAGACATACACACCTGTGCTTTTGGATGAGGACGCACTCGCCTCCGTCCTGTGGATCCACATTATAAATGTAGAGACACCCGTCTGAGGAAGCCACCAGCAGGCGAGGGAGCTTCTGAATCCTGACAAGCAAAAACACAACGTGCATTTACAACACATAAATACACCTCTTAAAAAAACATCCCTCTCCCGTCTCGCTCTGCCTTACGTAGCGAGGGCGCTGATGTTCTTCAGGCCGAACATGTTGAGTCGCACTGTGGCGAAGGCTCTGTCTTGATGCATCATGTCGGACACCTGGGTGGGCAAGTAGGTGCTGGCCGCTGTGAACATTTTGCCCATGTACGCAGACCATGTGGGAGACTCCTCGTCTTGACTGGAAGGAAACAACGTGGGCCAGAGTTGAAGTTGCCAACGTGAGTTAATCACCACTGGAGACATTCAGATTTCTTTCTGTGATACTGGATTTTTACATAGTAAGCCACTTGGTTGAATTAATGGAAAACACTACTGGGGTGCTTTACATCAGAAATACAGCAGAGGGTGCTGGTCCTTCCATGCATTGTTCTTTTCTGAGCCATGCAAGGTTCAGAAAAGGACAATGTGTGGGAAGCAGACTTTTTATACAGAGGAATCCCTTGTTACTGTAATATTAGAACATTTTACCAGAGATTTTTCTTTTTTCAAAGTCTGCAAATAACCGGCTTTATTTTTGATCTGGATGAAAGTACCAGCTGTATCATCACATTGTTTTTAAGCTAGTTAGTCAAGTAAGTAATTGATTGACAGAAAACAAAGCAGTGAATTATTAATTGTGTGTGTGTGTGTGTGTGTGTGTGTGTGTGTGTGTGTGTTTACCTGGGGCTGTGCTGCTCCAGTTTAAAGATATGGACTGTCTCAGTGTTGCTGGAGGCGCACAGGAACTGGGCGTCGGCGCTGAAGGACAATGAACTGATGCTAACATATCTGCCACCGACGAGAGACGGAAAAGAATGAAACAGTTATGATTAGATGTACGTTTCTATTGAAAAACACATGCACATAATTGATTTTTAAAAAAAAACAGATTTATCCACAAGACCACATTTAGCCCAAATGTAGACTCTTGTCCATGTTTTTACATGGCACCTAGTGTGTGTGTGCGTGTGTGTGAGTGAAAACAGCCTCTCTGAGTCTAATGTTTCATCCTTGTCTTAATCACAATGTCCTAATCACTGATACTCCGTCGCTGACACTGGAAGCGGCACAGTGCATTCACAACACACTACCATTGGCTACTGAGCAGCAGGAGTTGTCTTACTAACCTGAATGGTAACTGTTGAGTAATAGGAGGTGTCATTTAAACTGCTGACCTTCTGTCGCCTCTCTGTCATGTCTGACACGCAACCACCATGAATCATCTTGTCCACAGCGTGCTTTGTTAATACTTTCTCCTTGAAATACAGGAAACAATTGTGAGCGCTAACCTTTTCATGCCTCTGCGGAATTCAAACAGTCTCTGTCCTTCAGGAACGCTGAAGACTCTGATAACGGTGCCCTGTAGAGGAGAAAGTGGTCAGACGGAGGCTGGTGGGCGATGAAACAGAAGGAGGGATAAAAAAAAGAAAGAAAGAAAGAAGGAGTCCTCACCTTCTCTGAAGCGCTGGCCAGTTTGGTGCCAGAGCCATTGAAGGTGAGGGCCGCCAGGGGACTGTCGTGGGCTTGGATCAGCGTCAGGGTGCTCTGAAGGGGCAAATACATTTATTTTAAAGGGACAGGACAACAGCGGCAATGTTTTTGCTTTCCTTTGCTGCTCTGTTAGAGTTGAATGTGGCCTCACCAGGTTGTTGGCGTCGTAGACGGTGATCTCTCCGATGGTGGCGCTGCCAGGGTATGCCAGGTAGGAGTTACTGTGGTTGACGGAGAGAGCGCAAAGGCCTACAAGGGAGCACAGTGGAGGATTAAGGCACTCTTCTCTTTCTTCTTTGTTTTGATTTTCCTGTCTTTTATTCTTATAAAGTATGTAAAGTAAGTATTTTGCCAGTTGCTTCACAATGGAGCAACACATGTGCCATCTGTGAGGGTCTATTATTTGTCAAGTATGGTCCTGAAAACTCCCAAATCAAACAAACTGCATGTCAACACAATATTGAGCGAACTTATTTTTTATTTTTTGCAAATGCATGGTTTGAGTATCTTTAAATATAAGACGACATTGGCACTGTGCACCCTCGCAAGTTCAAATGGTGCCGGTATGGCCAGTAGCTTAACGTGGCTAATATTAGCAACGGTCTTCGACAACTGACATTGCTGAGTCAGTAATGCTGGCTTTAGGACTCCTCTCTGCTTGTGCTACTGTTACACTATGTGTGATAGCATTCAGCATTATCCTGTAAATGTCACTAGTGGCCTCTATTCAGCAAAAGTTGCATATTGTTGCTTCAAAGTGAGGTAATTAAGATTTTATAATTAAGGTTCTATAGGAATCAATGTGCACACTTTTTTACATGGTCTGTACACAGATATCTGTATAGCAGCTTGAGTGTACCTGTGGGGTTGGTGGGTGTGTTCAGCAGGGTTTTGAGTAGTTTCATGTCTTTGATATTGTGGATGTAGACCGATTCCTCCAGGCACACCACCAGCCGCTGAGGTAACAGTGACAGACGTAGAGATCAACGTAAATGAATAAACTATAACGTCGCACAAATTTAGAAGTAACAGCTTTGAGGATTACAGGTAGAGAAAGATCCGTTTCCCGTTTTTTACCTGTCTGTTGAGCCGGACGGAGAGGATGTTGTTGGAGTAGCTGTAGTTACAAATCTCGGTGCCTTTCTTGAAGTGGTAAACGTTCATTCGCCGTGGCATGGACAGACTGACCACCACCACCAGGCTGCTGGAGAACAGTCGCTCCACGATGTAAACGTCTGGACACTCTACTGGGAGAGGGACGAGTGAAAGGCCGTGGATATGGATTGCATACTTTCACACAGAAAAAGCCATGAATGCAAATACAATACATTCTGTTGTCACTCCCTTTACTCCAATTTCCTGCACTTAAATTACAAATGACAATGGCTTCACTGCTATCATGCTCAGCTACCAAACCACGTTAGCTCCACTTTAATAGAAACTGTCAGTCCCTCGACAGGGAGTGCATTATCGAGCTCACACTTCCTTTAAACATTCTCTTTCATTGTTGCTATTGAGAATCACAACATTTCCTGTGTTGACCCTCTGCACGCAGAAGAGCAAACATGTTGCGGCCTGTCTGAGCCGTTGTATGACCAAGGTGTACCAGACCACAGCTCAAATAACACTGAGTAGACTTCTGTCACTCTGCAGTAATGTCGCCTTGGGGCGGGGATGCTGCGGTGGCACAATGTACTGGATTTGTAGATGTGTCTGCATTATAAGACATTATACACTTCCTGTCACTTTAACTTTTAAGGACTACTGCACAGAGTGAAGTGTCCATCTTACCTCCCTCATGGATGCAGTCCAGTTTGTCCACAGCAGTGACTGAGAAGAGCCGGTAGCCGGTCTTGGTGCCCACTGACAGAGAACTACAATAAAAGCACACAGGTTACACACACATACACACACACACACAAAATACCAACATTTGCTGTCAACATTTGAATACACATAAAGTCTCCTATTGTTGCAGTAAAATAATCCCAAAGAAGCATTTTTATTTGTTTGGTATTACTAGAACAGATTAGTGAATGGATTTGGTTAAAAGGAATTGCTTGCTATTGAAAACACGCATGTTCAATCCCTACTGTAGCACTGCACAAAACGGGCTAAAATCTCCTAAAATCGATGTAATGGATGCTATATGCCACTGGCTCTAATGACTGTCATGATCAAACTTACAGTCGCATGAGCTGAGGGGACTTCTTTACGCTATTGATAACTGAACTATCAATCGTCATGGTTGAGTAGTAGCATGAGGCCAATGTATGTCTGTTACTGACAGGAGGCGGTCACCAGGTCAGATCCAGGCTTTACCCTCATCCGAGGAGGGTCGTCATCTGTGTCATGATTTCTTCTAGACTGTCTCATCTTGCTGTAACGCAGCTCCCATTGAAATCTATTAATACCCCCCCCCCAGGAAGCTTGCCTTAATTTATCATGGTTGAAGTTGATCAAACACGATGACAAAGAGACACGACTGTTGACTGTTCGTCCACCTGCTTAGCTTTATAATCAGAGCCACATGATGTGTGTATGTAAGGGGACACGCCTGTGTTCTGCTGGATTTATCTGTTACTTAATAAACCCTAAACATGGGTCAGTGGACATCTATAACACAGGTGTGAGTCGTCAAAATTATTGGAGTAAAAAAAAACATTACACAGGGACCTCTGACTGTAAATTTGCCTTCAATAATATTGCTATAACCTGAATATGAACCTATTATGGTGTGTTAACTGGTGTACAGAAGAAGGTAAGACGGAAACTTGCATTAAGTTGTGTCTTATTACACAATAGATAGACGTTTCGTTACTAATTGTCTAGTTTAACGTTCAACGGACCTACTTTACTTCAGGACTAATCTAGAAGTTGTCATGCCTAGAAGCTCTTGGTTTCAGTTTGGACGCACACACACACGACTCCCTGATTGTTGGCGCTATTACCAAGCGTGACAGAAAACAAACCGGGGTATGGAAATGCGACTGAAAATAATTATGCAACAGTCAGGTGCAGCAAGGTGATTTGAGTTCAAGCTGGGCCCGGCCCGCAGGTCGCTTACGTGGTGTCCTGGTTAAACGAGGCGCAGATGAAGGCTCGCTGCAGATCGGTGCCGTCCGCTGCGTCCTGGGACTCCTGGGACTCCATCGGAGGCGCCGAATTCCCTCTCCTCCTGCCGACCGAGTTTGGTTGGCCTTGGGGCTCGGGTCGATTCCCCGCCGGAACCCGCTTCCCCCCTCCTCTGCCCCCCGACTCCAAGCGCCACGCTCACACTCTTCGGGGAGAGGAATGTCCGGGCAAGACCGACTCAGATGGCACACATCACACACCGAGTCAACAACCCAGCTTTAAACAGGATAAAAGATAAACGATAACACCTCCTTAATGTGCCGTTCCCCTTGAGTCGGTCGACACTGTTGTTATTGTGTTATTAACTTCCAATATCCACACGGTAAAACAAAAACAGCTGATGGGTGGATGCGCCAATTTGAGGTGCATGCTGATTGGCTGGTGGTAACATGTTAGCCCTCCTTTCCGGCGTTTCCATTGGTCGAGCCGTTTAAAGCCTCTTGTTGATTTGACACAAGAGTTGCCAATAACACAGGAGCCGCCTATTCAGCGGAAAAGGCGGTTGATTGGCTAATTACACGTTCAGTCTTGTCACGAGGAATTGTTTTCATGATTTCATTGGACGAGCGACGTATCAAGCTTTTCTTACTGCTCGCTCGAGCAGCGACACACCAACAACCCTGGGAGAGATGTGCAACTGCTACACAAAGATATTCCGGTGATTTAAAACAAATTATTATGTTTTTGTTTATGTTAACTTGCCTCTACGTACATGTATTTATTCATACGATTATGTTTACGTAGCTTACCCAAATACAGGTATTACATTTTTATATTTTATATTTCTTACCCTATTGTTTTAATTTTATTTACCTGTACCATGAATGCTGCTGTAGCGAAAAAATGCCCCCTTGCGAGATTAATAAAGTAACTATCTATCTATCTATCTATCTATCTATCTATCTATCTATCCAAATAGTTAACCTGAAATTGTATACATATATTAGGCCACAGACAAACCCTTTATGTAGCCTATTTTTATGAATTATGTCGCCCCTTGTCAGTGGCGGAAAGTAAAGTACATGTACTGTTCTATTTTATTGTAATTTATATGTTACTTTATACTTGTACTCTACATATCGTAGAGACATAGTACTTTTTACTTCATGATCATCTTATCAAATGTGATGATTTATTACAGATTTAACTACCCAACATAATATAAATCACTCAAATTAGCTGCATTTCGACCAGCCACAATGTTAGAATACTGCGTGGACATTAATATATCGGTAATAATATTATATATAATACTATAATTATGACAGGGGCCGTATTTCTGTTTGATTACATTTGTACATGATGTTGTAAGTCCATGCACGCTGCAGTGAGCCAGGAGGTCTAAATAAAGACAACACTGAGAGATTCCTGTTATCAGGCTAATTTTTAATCAGATATAAATCGATTTTTTTCTTCTTCTCAATTCTAAACTATTTCCTTGACGTCACGGTTTCCGTGCGGTCTCCTTTAAGGTTGCCAGGGGTGACGGGCTCACATGTCAGAACGAGGAGAATTGACGTCAGTGACGGCCGTTGATTGGTTCTCAGCCGTATCCGGTGGGGCAACGGTCCAGGGCTCGGAAAAAAATCGAAGCGCGGAGGATCTGGTAACGGTACGCTCTGAGAAATATCATCCATCCCGAGTCGCTATCGAAGGGCTCGGCAGGAATTTACAGTTTCTTGTGAGTATTCGCGCTGTTTCCGCTCGTCTGTCGCGTGACCTCTGGATAGGTGAAATTTGTTTCCTTCGTCTCGCGTTTGTTTATGATAGAACTCAAGATGGCGTCATTGGAGGAGAGCTTTGCCTTTGCACCGAGCTAGCCAGCTAGGCATCAAAACTAGACTCACTCTTTGACACAACGTAGGCCGAAGACAGTTCAGCGAACGTACGGAACAGGAAGTATTCACATATTTGGTGTTTATTGGGTATTACAATGTAGGGTGGGTAGCTTTTCCGTGTCAGTCTGTTTGCTGTAAGTTATTGGGCTGCAGCCGTCAGCCTCCTCATGAAGCCTTCCTGACCTAGACGGTGTTGCAGACAGGGCATTTGCTTCATACTGTCTCTAAAGGCGGTAACATTTACTCACTTTGTAACCCGTTAGATGCGTTATTATCCCCCATCCTCCAGCACAGCCCGTTGTCACTTTTTCAGCAAGGTCATTTGTGAATCACTGTGTTTTCTCTAATTTAATTGACAGCTTCTGAGTAGACAACAGAGGTTACGCTGCAGCTCAGTAACTACATCACAAAATGTACATGTTAATTATATACTTTCACTACCTACAATATTTAAACTAAAATGTACTGATGATGTGTGGCAGAAGATTCCTGTTGTTAAGTCTGCAGTCTCTTAATTTATCCGATCTGGTTGGAAAACAGTATGATTTGTGTCTTAGTTATAGGTTTAGATGAAAGCAAGCCTGTCAAGTTTCCACCATGAGTGTAAGTTAGTTGCATAAAGGTTGTGTCAGCCTCATCTTTGATATCAAGACCAGTAATCTCCACTGGGCCTAGTCAGATTGGGAAATGATCCGAAGCCTATTATACTTATGCACATGCATGATACTCTTGCAAGGACAGGATGGCTCGGTCTGTTTACTCAACAAAAAAAAAATTGCACATGTTGGTTCCACAGGCCTTCCTGTTCTAGACAACACAGCTTGATCGAGCTCAGAGCTCTCCGAAGAAGCCTGTATCGGGCTGATCACATGATCTGGGATCTGCTATTTTGCTCAGTAGCAGCATTGTGTCCTGAGATGTTGAAAACCCCAAAAGCAAGTGCACTTGCTTTTTTATGGTTTGATCTGTTTCGCAAGCGGGATTGATTCACTGGCCTTCATTTCACCCTTTGCCTAAAATGAGGGCCTTGTGTATGATGCTGCTTCTTTTGATAGAGGGCTCCTTTCAGGCCGGTTGACAAAAAGTCAAGTTGTTTTGAGTAAATAAACTTTTGTTGTCTGTGGCCAGATACGTGTGATCGCATCACATGACCCGTTTTCACCGCTGACACTAAGAACCACTCGGCCTCCTTAGTGCCAGAACACCCCCCCCCCCCCCCTCCCCCATCTCTCTATGCCTTCACACCCTGGTCCTATTTCTCTCACATTCTTCGGTTTTCTTTATGTCCATTTCTTATCACGACACACACAGTCCTCCCCCCTGCTACAGTGCTACTCTTCTGGCTAATCCTGTGACTCCCAAATTGTGCAGAGATGATCTGAAACTATGCCCCCCCTCCCCCGTTACTGTCCATTCTCTCCAGTAAAAAAGGTTAGAGGTCACAGAGCAGGGTTGTGGTTGTCGTCATGGCATCTGGAAGTACGAGCAGCGAGGAGGAGCGGAGCCTGAGGGAGTGTGAGCAGTACGTGCAGAAACACAACATTCAACAGCTGCTGAAGGACTGCATTGTCCAGCTGTGCACCTCCAGGCCGGACAGGCCCATGGCCTTCCTCAGGGAGTACTTCGAGAGGCTGGAGAAGGTTTGTGTCCGTGCTTTTTTTTTTTTTTGGGTTGTCCTTATTGGTCAGTGGGCAGAAGGCAGATTGATATATATATATATAAAATTACACCAGACAGTTACTGTCTCATAAGTCAGCTGATAATTGCCATCATAAACTGTATTTATGTACACTCGGGTCAGATTTCCTTTTTATTTTATCTGGCAAAAAACAACACATGACAGTGGATGTCAACGATGAAGCAACTTCTCATTTAGCCTGAAGCACTTTATTTTTCTGTGATGCCAACAATAAGTATGATAATCATGTTTGGCTTGAAAGCTTCTATAACTTTTATTTTTTTCATCATCGGGTCTGAGAACAGCAGCTTGGCTTGGAAACGCGTGGCAATAACAAAACCATGTTTGTAACATTAACAGCAAGCTCATTGGCTTTATTTTCAGTTGTTTGTGTGTGGTGCTCACTCTGTAACTAGTGAACAAATCACTGCATTACAGGATTTTTGTATAAATATGCTTTGGGCAGGATTTTGGACTTCCCAAGTGTACATTTACACTTTGATGAGGCTTGTGGAAGCCATGTTCTAATATCTACATCTAGAAAGATGCACTCATAACTAGATACTATCTCACTAGCTTACTAATTTGAGGTAGGAGCTATTTTGGAATTACTTGGAGTGTCTTTTACAGCTCATCATCCACTTTTAAATTATCAGATTTTTTTCAGATGCTCACTTGACCGTAACATTTACATCATCATGGAGAATATTAGCTTTACCAAAACATAGAACATAGAACTTGGCTGGAAATAGTTTTCCTACATACTTAAACATTATACATATTTGGAGTCTCTGAGTTGACTCCCCAGGCGGTCTGATGGCTACAAAAACACACTGGATGACTTAAGGAGGAACGTCAGACGTCATTTTTAGTTGTGCTTTAAATTGAACACTCGAGTTAACATGGTTTTCATTTAAAATGTGTTTTGGATTTGTCTGTTTATGGCACTTTCTGTAGCACTTTATTGCACAAAAAGTGTATTTTCAAATGACCAATGACTTAACTTGGATGAAACTGCAGCAGCTTAAGACCTCCATCCCCTTCTCCCTCCTCCAGGAGGAGGCCAAGCAGATTCAGAACCAGCAGAAGGCCAGCAGTTCCCGTTCAGACTCGCGCGACGAGGAGGTCTCTCCGCCCATGAACCCGGTGGTAAAGGGCCGCCGGCGGAGAGGAGCCTTCAGCGCGGAGGTCTACACAGAGGAGGATGCCGCCTCATATGTCAGAAAGGTAGAAGTGCACGTGTGCAAGCAGCTTACAAGAGTGTCGCAACACTGATGCTATCAGTGTTAGGAGAAGTTGCGTGACGTCTTTGTGGTGTGTGTTCTCAGGTCATTCCAAAAGACTACAAGACGATGGCAGCCTTGGCCAAAGCTATTGAAAAGAACGTGCTCTTCTCACACCTGGACGACAATGAGAGGAGGTACCTGTTTGTCCTTTTGTTGTTGTTGTTTTTTTTTTTTAAATGGCTTTATTGTAATTGTGTAACTGTTCAGCTGGTCATCTCACAACTCTGCTCCTTTCCAGTGACATATTTGATGCAATGTTTCCAGTCACCTACATCGCTGGGGAAACGGTTATCTTGCAGGGTAGGACGACATATTCTCAGTGATTAACGTTTATCCAAATCCCAGCATGTCCTCGTGTGACGCTAACGGTCTCCTTGTATGCACCCAGGTGACGAAGGGGACAATTTCTATGTTATCGACCAAGGGGAGATGGATGTGAGTGTCTGATCCTCGTCATGATTTGCAAGAAATGTTTTTTATTTATTTTTTACATTTTAACACCTTGGTCTCTACCCCACTAATCTGACAGGTGTACGTGAACAA